TAATAGTGAAACATTTAAAGCATTCCATTTAAATTTTTGAAGCATTTTTGCTAACTCAATCAATTTTAACTTTTTTTTAAAATTAAGGATCCCTAGTAGTTTAGCGGTTGTTGCTTTTTTATTGTGTTTATTGGAGTGATATTGATTAATAAAATTATATAGTTTTCAGGTATACAAGTTAATTAATTAACATAAGCTATTCAGAGAAAGACAAAGCATTCCATTTTAAATCAGAATCAGCAAAAATGACTCACAAATAATCACTTCTGTTCAAGATCTAAACTGAGAGTCTGAGGCATTACTATAACGCAAAATAAATAAATAAATACATAAATTAATAATTGTATAAATGTTAAAAGAAACAAAGCTATAAGTAGAATTGTCTTTATATAAACCTCAAGAGAATTTACAAACATAGAGTAAAAGCGATTAATAAGTTTATTGTATATAAGACTAATGTATACAACATAATTGCAACAAATAAAAAATAACATTTTCACTGTGAATATACCATTTACAATAGCAAAAATAAATTGGTTCTGTGAAATACACTATGAATTGGCAGAGTTGGCAAATATTTCAACACTCAAACATTATATATATATATATATATATATATTTCAGAGAGAGCAGGAGAGAGAGAGAGAGAGAGAGAGAAACATCATGATAAGAGAGAATCATTGATCGGCTGCTTTCTGAACACCCTCAACTTGGGATCAGGCCCACACCTGGGCATATGCCCTGTCCAGGAATTAAACCTTGACCTCCTGGTTCATTGGTCAGTGTTCAACCACCGGCTGGGCTGTAGACATTCTTATATGCTTTCCTGGTTTGAGCTATAGCAACCTTTGAAGATGGCTTATTGATAAACAGATTCCTTGGATCTTGAAATATCTGAAAATTCTCAAATGTTGCATTTAATCAATGTAAAGATAAAATATAATCATAATAAACTATAAGAAAACTACACACACACACACACACACACACACACACACACACACTCTAGATCTGGGGACTTGAGCCATCTTGATGGCAAATGATGGTCCCTACTCAATTCCCACACCTGACCCAGAAAACCATGAACAAATAGACTACTGAGAAAATACCCTACAATGAAGTCACAAGTAACATACATCTTCCTGAGCTACCAGAGTTACTGTGCACTTGCTTGAAGGACACTTGTTCTAAGATAGGGCTAAACAAACTTCTGAAAAGGGCCAGATCATAAATGTTTGAGGGTCATTTGATCTCTGTTGTAACCATTCAACTCTGCTATTGTAGAGTGAAAGCTGCAATAGAAACAGTATGGCTGTGTTGCAGTAAAACTTGATGTATGAATGCTGACGTCAGAATTTCAAATAATTTTCTCTTCTCAGGAAATATTGAGTTTGCAAACATTCAAATATGTAAAAATTGTTATCTTAAAGGCTCCACAAAATTTTTCCACAAGCCAGGTTTGGCCCATGGGCTGTACTTTGCCAGCCCCTGATCTAAGCTTGTGGAATCACTAGCACCCCAAAACAACATTGAGAAGAAAATCAGTAAAATAAGATGGAAACCATTCCTAGGAACTTATGGCGAGCATACACCGAAAGCTGATATTTTAACACAGTGGTTTTCAACTTCAGTGGCACATTGCAGTCACATGGAGAGTTTAAAAATATATTTGTCTGGATTTCACCCCAATTGTACTTTAAGTGTTGTGGGTGTGGAGTGGTGTTAGCAATTATTTCAATCTCCTTATGCAGCTGAATTGTTTAAACAAGTTTGAGAACCACCTTAAAAATTTCAATGTTGAAGTTGACCTTAAGGGAAGGGAAGTAAAGGCCAAAAGAAATGAATGGGACTATATCCAACTAAATAGCCTCTGCACAGCAAAAGAAATCAACAACAAGACAAAAAGGCAACCAAAAGAATGGTAGATGATATTTGCAAATAACAACTCTGACAAGGAGTTGATATCTAACATATATAAAGAAATACAACTCAACAGTAAACAAACAAATGATCCTATTAAAAAATGAGCAGAGGAGCTGAATAGAAACCTCTCCCCAGAATACAAATATATATGAAAAGATGTTCAACCACACTATTAGGGAAATGCAAATCAAAACTGCAGTGAGATACCACCTCACACCTGTTAGAAACAGTTCCATGGAGTGTGAGAAGAAAAGATGTAAGTACAGGGGAACTGTGTGCAATGATGGGTCTCTTCAACAGACAGCTGGAGTTCTAGGCATCTTAGTCTGGGACACTGGACCCATCACTGCCTAACAGCCTTTGAATGAGCCCCATCCAGGCCTCACTTCAGCCTGAACACAGAGTCACACATTATTGGTTCTGCGCATAGGATTTGAGGTGGCTTGGTCAGGATTTGAATCCTAATAATAAATTATATTATCTGGGTCAAGTATCTTTGACCTCCTGGTGACTCACACAAATTTTTGTCCTTAAACTGAGGTTAGTAATAGTCTCTATGTCATGAGGTAATTGCAGGCATTGTGTTAATATATGGAACTACACTGAAAATACCTGGAGAAATGCCTGTGACTTAAACCTCATAAGTGTCTCAGCTTTACTAGGTCAGGAACTTAGCATAATATCTGGTGTTTAGCAAGGGAAGAATATGTGTTATTTATATTCATTATTACAAGTCCCCTAAAAAATGAGAAAGAAAATAGACGGGTTTATGGAAGAAGATTCTGGTGTCAGCTGTTAACATTTCACATGAGTCAACAATATCCTTTCATAAGTTATAAAAACACACACCACAAACAAGTAATAGAAGGAAACATCACTAACCAACAGAGAAATGCAAATCAAAATCAAAATGTGCAACAATAAAAAAACATCACTATGTGTGTCCTAGCCAGGTGGCTCATTGGTTGCAGTGTCATACCATGCACCAAAAGTTTGTGTGTTCGATTCCCAGTCAGGTCACATACCTTGGTTGCAGATTTGATCCCAAGTTGGGGTGTGTGTGGAGGCAACAAATCAATGTTTCTCTTTCACATCCATGTTTCTCTTTTTCTCTCATCTCCCTCTTTATTTATTTTTTTAAATATATTTTATTGATTTTTTACAGAGAGGAAGGGAGAGAGATAGAGTCAGAAACATCGATGAGAGAGAAAGATCGATCAGGTGCCTCCTGCACACCCCCCACTGGGGAAGTGTGCGCAACCCAGGTACATGCCCTTGACCGGAATCGAACCTGGGACCCTTCAGTCCGCAGCCCGACGCTCTACCCACTGAGCCAAACCGGTTTCGGCTTTCATCTCCCTCTTTAAAAAAATCAATTAAACACAAACACACACACATTTTAAATCAGCAAGTATATAAGAGATCAGAATGTCATAATTTCACTATCAGTGCCACACATGAAGGTCTAAAAAGGCTGTGAGTTACCGGATTGTACTGACAGTGGGCCACACAGTGACAGCAGTGATTTCCCAGAGGAGCTCATTTGAGGCCTGATTGTCATCAGTATGTCGTGAAATGATCAGTAGTGAATGATTTTTTACTCATAAATGGCCCTGAGGCAATATGGAGTAATGGATGTACAACACACAAACCTAGAGAACATTAAATTTGAGACCCCAAAGGAAGCTGGTTTCTAACAGTATAATTCTCATAATCTTCCAGTCCCTCCAAACCACCAGTGTTGTCTGCTGGTACAGTTTCAGTTGAATGTGGTAAAAAAAAATATCATTAGTGAATCCACATATAAGAGAGACAATTGAGAGTACCTTATTTCTGTAGATGCCAAAAAAATTCTTCCATATCCTTCCACATGTTGAATTACATATGTTGGTGAGAGTGTTTGTGGGGGGAAGGATGAACAGCAACACAACTCCTAGGAGTGAATACAGAGTGCAATATAAACAACACATATTATGAGCATACCTGTGGCTACATTCTACAATAAAATAGAAAATTTACAAGAGACTTATTGGATTGGTTCTTTGATTATTGTGTAATGCCTTCAATACCTCCTCTCAGTAAGTGATTGCATTCTAGAGGGAAAATCAGTACATAGCAGATCTGAATAACACAGTAAATTAACAGGATTTACCTGACAAATAAAATACTCTGTCTAAAAGGAACAGTGTACGGTATTTTTCAAGTGTCTATGTAACATTTGCCAAGACAGGCCATCTCCTGTGCCATCAAAAAAACCTCCACAAGTTTAAAAAGGATTGAAATGACACAGAGTATGTTCTCTGACCATAGAGGGATCAAATTAGAAATCAATAATAGGAAGAGAAAAGAAGAATCCCTAGAGATTTGGAAATGGTAGATGAAACATCATTCCAGTTTGTCATTCAGAATCTTGTTACAGAAGAGCTGAGGTTAGAAAGAGCTGTCTCCTGAACTCAAAGGCATTTCAGACTGAGCAAAGAGAAAGCTCACTCTGGCTATTTCAAGTAGAGTGTTGTTGAGGGCAAGGCAGGATGGAGGAGGCCAGTTTAGAGGCTGGTACCTCCGCTCCATCTGACATGAAAGCTTGTACTACAGTGGAAAAAGAAGCACAGCTTGATGAGTGTTAGTGAAATCAGTGTGGTGGCTGATTGGGTTTGGGAAGCATGAGAGAGGGTGCTTCCCATGTATTGGATGGGTTGTCAGAGAGCTCTGAGAGAGGCAAGATTCACATGCCTTCCTGATGTATGGCTGGCATCTAATCTAACCCATGGACACACCTTTGTTCTTTATAAATCTTGCACCATATTAAAAGGTTCACACAGTTACCTCTTTCTCCTCCTATCTCCTCTCCTCCTGCTCTTGCTCCTCCTTCCTCATCCTGTAACATTTCTCCCCTGATAGCACCATCTGTCAGATATCTGGACAGGCAGAGGTGTTTCCTTTCTGGGATTTGTGGGATCGACCTCTTAGGGCAGGTTGGCATTTTGTTGCCCTGCCTTAGTGTTCGCCCAAGACATGGTACATGGTAATTGGTTACAGATGTGTCTCTACACTTGTATTTTTGTTCCTTGTTTCAGAAGACAATGATGATTATAGCTCACTTCAAGGAAGAAAGAACCGTTGGGGTTCTTTTCGAGGTAATTTTCACAACAGGAGCAGTCGTTATCAACATGGTGGATATCAGCCTCCACACTTCCTGAAGGATTATGGATACATGGAGAAGAGGGCAGTCCAGAAGTACCAAGTCAGACAGTAAGTGACTGGGCAGCCTGGTTTGCATGTAGAAGCCCATGGGACTGTGCAACTCTCAATGCCTGCAATTTTGTTTTTCTTCTCTCACTGGGAAACTGAAGGATATTAGGAGTGAAACCATGGTTGAGCAATCCTAATTGTAGTCCTGGTGTCAGGGT